TGAACAGCTTGAACCAGGCAGTATCATTAACTGTTTAGTGTCCTCTTTTGGCTTTATAAATTACCACAGGCTTACATCTGTCATCTTATTTTAATCTCAGAAAATATTTTACTTGTGAGGAATTGGAGTTTTAAAGAAGTTAACCAACTTTCCCACGGCTGCTCAAACAGGGAGTCTCAGAGTCACATCTTGAACACAAATTTTCTGTCTCCAAATTTTGTGCTCTTTCTACTTTTCCACAGTAGAACCTGAAGCTTTACATGTTCCTTTCAGCTTAAAGTAATTCAGGTTTTCATGTGTGGGTCTCAGAGCAACAACAGCATATGGTTTCTTTTGCAGATGAGAAACAGTATGATTCTTACCTGCTGAGAGGGCTTAAATTTAAAATTAACCTCCTTGTATCAGAAGAAAGCAAGTTTACAGGAGCAGAGTAGACTTGGAGATGTGCCATTTTCTGTTCAGCCACTTGGTATGAAGGTTGGGTATCTGAAATCACATCTTAAGGCTTAAGTGGCTTCATAAGTAATCTAAAACAGTTGTTGGCTTTAGAATTTCATAAATGAAAAAAGTAAAGTAACAATTGTTATAATACTTTTTCCAGACTTTAGGGGAAATTGAAATCATTTGTGTTTTATTAATCCATGCTTTTCAGGCTCATTGGCCCATGACATGAGCAAGGGTTTTAATGTAATGATTATTTTGTGACTTGAAACTATTATGATTCTTGTGAAGAGTAGGGTGTTTCTGATCCTAGAGACAGAGATCACACAAACTTTTATTTTCTTAATATTTATTAATTGATTTAAAAATATTGACTAGAACCTGACTTACGCTGATTACAAAAAGAGCTTGGTTGGGTTACTTTATTAATATGATAAACTAGAAACAGTCTTGGATACATAATCATTATACTAACTCATACTGTGACTGAGTCATCTCTTTGTGTGCGTGGAAATTTAATTTTTCCAGAGTTAATAAAAAGGAACATTTGAATGATGCAAAAGCACTCAGGCCAAGAATCTAAAAGTTCATATCAACAATAATTTTCTCATACTCTTTTGTATATTTGACCATTACAAAAGCTATCACATTCCTATCTTAATATTCATAGAGGTTACAATTATACTTAGTTAATCTTAAATTCTGGCAGTGAAGTTCTCATAATACTTTCAAGTATTAATAAAAACAATGCAAGTCTAACTTTGCAGTTATTTCTATGATTAAATCTAGTTTTTGTAGGTCATTCTACAGAGGGTAAGTGTCTACAGTTCTTCGGGTTTTTTAAAGACTGAATTGGACAGTCGTCTTGTCCATATTTAAGCTTAAGATAATTTTTTTTTTTTCATTTTAAAAAATACATATCCAGACTTAAAATCTACGGGGAATGAAGGTCAAACAGCAATAATAGCCTAAAACAAAAAGTGAAAAGCTTTGTGAAATTCTTAACAAAATTTTTAAATGTCTATATTATTCTTTCAAAATAGATTCTATACATTTCAAAATATATTCTACAGATTTCAAAATATATGTAGAGGATAAAATTGAGATTCAGACTATTTGAATCCTTATTTTTGCCTTGTCCCTTATTCCCTTGTTCAAAATATTTTTTTGACTCTGTATAATGTAGGCATTGTAAAGATAATTGGAGCTCTTTGGCTAAAAAAGGGCCAAAGTTATAAAGTAGCTATGGTTAAGGGTATGTTTTTACTACAGTGTCAGAATTATTACCAGTGTGGAGCATGGAAAAATAATGGCCATTTATAAGTCAACGTCAAAACTGATTTTCAAGTATAGCTAAATAATTAAATCATAATCTGGTTATAGATGCAATACACTACGCTAATCATTAAATTCAAAGCATTTAACCCAAATACCTATCAATTGAGGAATGGACAAAAAAATGTAGTATTTTTATACCATGGAGTATTACTCAGCTATAAAAAAAAGATAAACTAGAGGCTTTTATAGGTAAATGGATGCAACTAGACAGCATACTCATAAGTGAAATAAATCAGACCCACATGTGTAAACATTATATTTTTTCCCTAGTATAAGAACCTGAGAGAGTAAATAAAACTGAAAGGTACAATAGATATTGTGAAAGGGAAAGAAACTAAAAGGGAAGGAACACTGGGATGAGGGAAAGGAAAGAAAGAAAGAAAAAAAAAGAAAGAAAGAAAGGAAAGAAAGAAAGAAGGGAAATATATATGTATATGTAAGGATAGCTGAGATAATTGTACTGCTGATGTCTATTGGTTTATTGAAGGGAACAGTTAATGCTTAAATATTTTTTGACCAATTTTGCATGTTTATATCTGGTAATCTGAACAAGTAATTTGAAGACAACAGTATGCAATATAACAACCATTGTTGAATTCCTACCATCTTGTTTAGTGAAGCTGTGTATTGTTTCTAATGTTTTTTAAATTATTTTTTATTCTCTTTAATTGTTTGATCAATCTTGCATTCCTGCATCTGGTAATCTGAGCAGTTTCACTGAAGATAACAGTATGTAATACGACAACCATTGTTAATTTCCTATCATCTTGTTTTGAAATTCTGTATTGTTTTTATTGTTTTGTGTTGTTTTTCGTCTTTGTCTTTGTTGTTGTTATTGCTTTTATTTTTCTTTAAAAAAATTCAAGGCATTTTTTTGAAACATCCATAAATAGTGAGCTGAAATGCCAGAGTTTATACAATGTTTTAAAAACATTGGAAGAACAATGTTCAGTAGAGGGCTCTTAAAAACTTTAAAGTGTTAGTAATTCTGAGCTAATTTATTAACTGCTTCTCTCATGTTTTCTTAAATACACGGTAGGTTGAAATTTCCTGAGATTGCTTAAACATTCCATTGGGCCTCTTATCTCATTTGCAGCAAAGCTTACAGTTTTGTGTGACTGCTCAAGTGAACATTTAGTCTGAAATATACAACCATAATAAAAAAATAACCTTAGTGTAGCAAATTTTGTATAGTGGCCTTCATTTGGCATTATACCTGTGAAGAGTATGCAGTATGCCAGAGTGCCACAGCATACCATGTGAGAATCACTGGGTAGCAATGTTTCTAGGGGTAAAGAATTTAGGAGAATGGAAATAATAATAAGAGACTAGAGAAGTAGAGAAATATATCTGTTTCTTGTTTCCCTTCAACACTGTTTGCCCCAAATTTGGAGAAAAACTACTATATCCCGAAGAACTTTTTTGTTGAACCATGGGGCACTTACCTACCCTCCTTTTTTTTTTTTTAAACAGTCTTTCTTTTCCACTTTATCCCTCTAAAAAATCTTTTAATGTTTCTCTAGGTGATTCTCTTTGTACTGAACTTAAAGATTATGACTAGTGTAAATTATGTGTGTGATATAATAAAATAAGTCAAAAAAATCTTATTGATGAGCCAAGTTTCTAAGCACATGATTAATGTTAAATTACTGCTATATTTGGTATGTATATAAAATATATATTAAATCTTTTTGCTGTTGTTGCTGCTATTTATGAGGGTTGAATCCAGGCTTTTGTCCTGAGCTACTTCCTCAGCCCTTTTTAATTTTTTTTTTTGGTACAGGGTCTTGCTAAGTCACTAAATTGTCTAAACTGAGCTCAAATTTGCAGTCCTCCTACCTCAGCCTCCAAGAATTACAGGCGTATTCATATATACATCTATACATAGATACATATTTGTTGTTTTCCACAAATATTTGTGCCTATCGAAAGGACGTATATTGGTGAATGAAGGTATTAGGGAAGGTGGGGAGAAAGAAGTAAACTGAAAATTTTGCATGTAAATAAAAATAGAAGTATTTTTACAATAAATTTTTGTTAGCTTTAGTTTAATAGCCTGGCTTTTGGAATTGTGAAAGGCTGATAATGAATTTGACTATCAAAAGAGAATAATCCTTTCTTTATTTGAAATATTCCCTCATTACAAACATCAGTTTGCAGTATCCAGGAGAACTTCTCAGTTTTTTGCCGAATTTTAAATTTGTTTAAACTTAATGTTGTATGTTTATGTTTCTACTTTGTATACATACGGGTCGTTAGCTGTTACCGTAACAAACACTTGAGATAAGTCAACTTAAAAGAGGAAATCACAGTCTCTGGTCCCTTGGCCCTGTTGCTTTGGGCCTATGGCAGCACAGTGCATCATCATAGGAGCATGGCGCAGAGGAGGCCTGTGCACCTCATGGTGACTGGGAAGAGAGAGGAATAGGAGGGTCTGCAGCCCTAATATCTCCTTCAGTGCCACTCCTGGTGACCTCACTTCCTTCCATGAGGCCAGACCTCCGAAAGGCTGGGACCCAGCCTTCAACACATGGATCTTTGAGGGACATTTAAGATCCAAACTATATATTTAAGGGAAGAAACGTTAGAGTCTTTTAGCTTTGCATCTTGGTAATAACCACCATCTTGCCCACTAGATGATTCTGGCTTGCATTCCAAACCCTACCCAGTAAAGTCCTGAAGACAGTCAGCTGAGCACCTGGTGCCAGGCACTGATGATACCTAGACTGTTTCTTAACTGACCTCTCCTGTGTTAATAGTTCTCGACAAAGCCCACATGCATGCCTTTGTCTAACATCGTGCATAAGCCCGTTCCTCTTGTCTCTGAATCTAGGAATCCTGTGTCGTTGCTGGCTGAGATGGGCTTCTATCCATTAAGTTCTTAATACATTGCATTTTTTATAAAAAAAAAAAAAAATCCAAACTATAATAACTAACCCAGTACCATTACAGGGTTTTTAAACATATTGAACATTGCTTTTGTTTAAACAGTTTATAAGTAAGGAGGTTTTATACTTACAAAAATTTTCAGAATTGTTTTCAGTATGTATAGGATGCCAGGCAGAGTATTTGTATCTCTCCACACTGTTTTGACTTGCTGCTGTGCCATTCGGTTTGTGTATGGAACTGTGAAGGAAATCTGATTTTAGAGTACATGTAACATACATGTGTGACATTTTTATTTCAATTATTATTTGTTCTCTTTTCTTTTTTTTTTTCAGCATGTTGGAACAGGATCCCAGGAGAATGAACCCTAATGTGCACCCTGCAAATCAAAGGAGGCATCTTTTAGAATTTTCTGCTAAAGAAGAACAACGCACATCAGATGACATCATCCAGAAAAATAGTTATAGGTGAGATGGTGTGTTGATCTGATTGAGTTAATGAAACTGAAGTAGAATTCTATCTGGTATGACTTTACATCTAAATTATTCACATGCAGCTTTGGGAGAACAGATAAATTGCTGAGGCTGTTAGTAAATTTTATTTTTAAGATCTAGTCTAAGAATAAATTTACTTTGAAGCCTTTCACAGTTTAGAATACTTGAGATGTGACCATAAAAACTTAATTTGTATGCACTGTAATATACACTTATACTGAAACACCAAAACCGAACTACCTGCAATATCTTCATTCATTTTGGCTAGTTTATTGTGTTTGTACACTTAATTTATTTAATATTTGTTACTGGGTTTTTTTTTTTTTTTTTTGGTCTCTGAGACAGAGTCTCATTATGTAGTTCAGGCTGGCCTTGAGGTCACTTTTGTAGCCCAGACTGGCCTCGAACTTGCAACACTCCTCCTGCTTCAGCCTCCCGAGTGCTGGGATTGTAGGTATGCGCCATCACACCTGCAAGTATTTGTTACTCTTTGACCTCTGGGTTGATATGCTATGTTAGAATGATGAGTGAACCTATTTGTAGTCATTAGGTGAATTTATACTTATATGGTCTTTGCTATAATTTGTCTGATTTTTTTTTGTAATAGAGTAAAAACTTTTTGATACATATTGATTAATACATAATGATTATTTACTAAAATCATATTAATACATAATGATTATTTGCTAAAACTTTTTCTTTCAATATACAGTGGTTTGCAAGCAGCCTAGAACTCTGAGTTGATGTGGATCTAATTGTCTCCAGATTACATGTTGGCTTAGATGCTCCCTTTCCTTTTTCTTTTAACTCCACCCAGTCTGTCCTTGCATTTCTCCTGTTGAGTATTTTTTCTTTTCCCAAAAATATTTTTGACTCTTACAACAAATCCAGTCAGCACAGATGCGCAGAAATCATTACTAGAGTTTATCACATGGAAAGAAAATTATAGATAAGAAATACATTTTCAAAGCAGTTTTGGATTTTCTCATGGATCACAGTGTTTGTGTTTTTTAAGTATACAGCATGATTTTTAAGATAATGTATGTTCAACAGATCTTTGGTCTTGCTTTTTTTTTGGTGTGTTATAGCAGCTTCTTCTTGTAGGCCTTCAGAAGGGGCATACATTTAGGGAGCACAAGACAGTGTGCCTTTACTCCCTGGGTATCAATATGTATCAATATATTTTTACTCTAAATTACCTGCCTTTGTTTAATCCCAGTGATAGAAAAGAGCACATCATGAATGTTCCTGGTGCAAGGGAAGCTGAAGTATCCTCAGCTGTTTCTTCTCTCTTTCTCTGTGTGTGGCACACATAGCATTCTCTGACTTTTATCTTGAAGTTAGTTTTTCACTCTGCCAAAATTATTTTTATCAAAGGGGCCAGTGACTTCAGTGTTGCCAAACTCAATGGAAACTTCTGTCTTCGTCTTTCTTGACCTTCCCCAGCACTCAGCTGTCTGGATCACTCCTTCCTTAAAAGACTCCTTTTGTGTTGCTGCAGTTTTAGTCTTCCTTCTTTTTTCTGGCCTGCTGCTTCGTAGTCTTTTTCTGCAGGCTCCTCTTGGAGCCAAATCTCAAGGTTTGGGACTGTGAACTTTTTGTTTTCTTTTTGATTCACCTATAATTTAGCACAGAATCCTTGTCTGTATGTCCTGACGGTGCTCAGATTTCTTTTCTGAGTTCCTAGACTCCCATATCCAATAGTCTCCTTGACCTGTCTTACATATTAGACCTAACGTGTACATAGTAGAACTCCTGTGCATAGTAGAACTCCCTTCCTTTCTTTTTATCTCTAAGCAGTTATCTTCAACAGTCTTCCTCATTTCTTTTGTTTAAACTGAAATCCCTGATTCTTCTTTCAACAAATGCTGTTAAGAGTCTTTCCAAAAATTTGAATATGTCCACTTGTCTCTGTTTCCATTGCCATGGAACTAGCCATGCTATCATCAGTTCTTGCCTGGGTTGCTGTAGTTCTCTCCTAATTGTGTCCAAGCTTTTCCCTTTGCCACCCTCACATCCTGTTTATCTCTAAGATATAAATTCAAATATTTCACTTCTATGCTTAAGATATTTTTGTGAGTTCTCACTGCATTTAACAATTCCTTATCATGATTGGCTTTGTCTGTCTTTCAAGCTTCCTCTGGTGCCTGCTTCCTCCCACTTGCACATAATTCTTCACCCAGTGGTCTTCTTTTATGTTCCTTGAGCTGTTTTTTCCCCACATGCTTCTACCTAAAATGATCTTCCTCCATTTTCTAGGGGGCTGGCTTCTTATCACATAGGCCTTGATTTAAGTATGTCCTTAGACCATTTTATCTAAAGTAGATACTAAAGGCAGAGACTTTTTTTCTGTTGGATTTCCAGGACATAGAACAGAACCTGACATGCAGTTGGTATTCAGTTGAATGAAAAAGTAAAAGTGTGAATCTTTTTATATTTTTTAATTTTTTGTAGTACTGGGGATTGAACCTAGGGCCTTGTGCATGCTAGACAAGTGCTGTACCACCGAGCTACATCCCCAGCCTAAAAGTGTGAATCTTGTCATTTTCAAGTTTTATATGTTTATTTTTTTTTCTTTTGGTGTTTTACCATATTTGGTTTTATAAATCCAGAGCATCCTATATAAGGAATTTCAGGACAAATCTAAGATTTCTTAGTGACAACAATTAAAATAGCAGAGTGAAGAGAGTAAGTAGCAATAATGTCCTCAGCTCAGATACTAATTTTCAACTCAAATTTCAGTACCCTAAATCATACCCTAAATATGAATTTATGTGATACAGATCAGAATGGTGATTAGAAAAATATTTTTTAAGCTAATAGAGTAATTACTGTCACCCTTGTGTATCATTAGTGATTCAGATCCATGATTCTGAAGTTTTTATTTGGCTTTTTTACTGTTTCACTTTAATACTGCCAAGTATTTTATGGATTACTCTGCCCCCACCTCAAATATACTTGTTTTAAGGAGGCTGTTCAGTTTTATTATCACAGAACTGTGAATGACCATAAGACTTTAGGCCTGGTCACATAATACTATCTTTCCTGTCAACCACTTGATCTTGCTTTCAAATTCTCCCATTACTATGTCACTTCAAGCTCACTGAAGGCATGAACCATATGTTATCATTGTATCCCTTATCTGTGATGCACATTAATTGCTCAATAAATGGCAAACCTGAATTACTATGGTATCTCTCTAGAAATTTTCAAAATGACATTTGTTCTACATGATTAATACTCTCTCCTTTTCTATTATATTTACTTCTACCTTGCAGTGTATTCTATTTACTATATATTTATTTCAATGAAAAAGTTAATGATGATTTTCTTTAAGCAAATTTCCTAGGAATTTAAGAGACAGGAAAACAAATAATGTGCATATATATTTCAGATATGATCATTCTGTGTCAAATGACAAAGCCCTAATGGTACTAACAGAAGAGCCACTACTTTATATTCCTCCACCTCCTTGTCAACCCCTGATTAACACAACCGAGTCACTCAGGTAAGTGTTGTGGATTTTGGCAGAAATATCTGAGTGGGCTCCTGTGATTAGCCTTGGAACTTTGAAAAGTATTTATTCAGATTTACTGAATGGCTGAGAGAATTTCTGAATTACTTATTCAATAAACATAAGTGTATTTGTCTAGTTTCTCTACCAGCTTGATAGAGATGGTGATGGGTCTATTGGATATGATGGTGGCATACTTGAACATATCTTATTTGAAACCTACAAAATAATGTTAAAATTCAGTGCAAGGACTGTGCTTGTGGATGGTAACGTCCATAGCAAAAAGTGCCTTTTTCTTCAATTAGGAAGATAATAACTTGAGGATGTGTGATACAGTAACATTTTTCTATGGTTGTACCCTTCTTTATCAACTTTTCATTTGAATTTTTCCTGTGATTTTGGGACAGGTCCCCGCACCTCAAAAACTGCCTCAGTTTTGTGTGTCTTTGTGTGTGTTAAGTAGTAATCAACTATAGACAAATAAGCATAGCCTCACACCTTTACAGCTTCTCTGGAAAATAAGTAAATGAAAGTTATATTAAACCAGCCTTTGATTTACCCTGTTGAAAAATACGAACTTTCTTTTTCCTTTGATACTTGGGTTGGTTGTTTTCCTTCTCTTGAAAGAGTGGGATTTTCCCCCTAGCGCACGGGGAGCCTCGGGCGGGGAGCGCCGGTCTTTGGACTGACGACTCACTCCCGGCCTCGGGGTTTCCCGGAAGGAGGGCTTCCGGCGCACAGGGAGCTGCGGGTGGGGAGTGCCAGCCTTCTGGCTGGCTAGCTTCCTGCCTGCTGGCTCCCGGAGGGTGGGCCATGCGGCGGCGAGCGCTATTGGGCGCCGGCCCTTAGGCCGGCCGCTGCCGCATTGAGATCTATCATGACACAGAGAAACAGTGACACAATTGGCCCGCCATGCACCGACAGCAGTTGCCCACCCACGGATATGTGTGAATCATTGAAACTTTGAACAACCCCTGGGAATACATGCCATACAACGGGCCACTCTTGCTCCTGCCATTGGGAACCAGAAAGGTCCAGAGTCAGCGGAGGAGCAGCTGCTGAACAAGGACTCAGAGAACATGAGAATGCAGACCAAGCCCATGGAGTCAGAGGTCCTGTGGACTGGGGTCCCCAGAGCCGCTCGGAAGCTGTAAACCAGGAGGACCTTGCACAATACTTGCAGAGACTCATTGGAAGCCATTCTTCCCCTGACAGTACAGGCTGTGGTGGAGCTCCGGAGAAGTCTGCAGCAGGATTCCTGCTGCCTGTGCTGACAGTTGGGGAGAGGACACTAACTGGTTGTGGGGTCCCAAAGCAATGGGAAGCTGGAGAGAAAAAGCTACAAAGAATGGCTTTCACCCCAGATAGCTCACTTGAGATGTTAGTAAGAATTGCCTCCTCAGTATTCTATAGCTATGATGAGGAGGAGGCCAAGGAGAGAAAACAAAGAGACTAAGAAAAAGCAGCTGCTTTTGCTGCACCACTAAGAGAAACAGACCCAGGTCTGATTCCCGGGGCTCCAAGAAGAACTCGACAACTGCATTCATCTGCTACCACTGTCAAAAGCCAGGCCACCTCAAGAGGAACTGCCCTAAGAGGCCCCATGGGCCATGCCCTGGATGCAAAGGAGACCACTGGAGATCGGTCTGCCCTCTGAGGTGGAGGCCCCAGAGCTCAGACCCATGCTACCAGTTAGTCCAACAGGAATGAGAGGGCTTGGGGCATGGTCTGCCTTCTCCCTCTGGCCAGACCGTCATCTCCATTGAGGAGCCCCGGGTAATCATGACTATGGAGGAACAAGAAAACAGCCTGTTGCTAGACACAGGTGCAAGTCTCTCGGTCCTTCTTTTCAATCCTGGCCTTCCTTCCAGCCGTCATACCTCAGTGAAAGGAGTCACTGGTGAGGAGGTAATATGCTATTTTTGACAACCCTTAGGCTGTAACTACTTATTAGATCCTTCTTGCATATCTCTGTCTTCCTGAGAAACCACTTTGAAGATACCACCATGTATTACAGCAGCCATTGATATTTTCCTACTAATCTATCCATAACTGTGTTGTTTGTAATGTTCCTATCCTGTTTCATAATGTATGTTTATTATTATGTGTTTCCTACAACAACCATTGAGAATAGTTAATGATTTTTCAATAGGTCACTCATGTATAGCTCTGTTTATTTTCTTTAGGAGCCACTTTGAAGATACCAAAGTATAGTACAACAACTCTTGATAATCTCCTACCTCTTTTGTCTGTAACTCACTATTATTTGTCTATTTGTTTTCCTGAGAAACTATTTTGTAGACAATAATATGTAAAATGGTAACCATTGATAATTTCCTACCATTTTGTCTGTAATTTGCTAAGTCCCCCCTATTATTATGTTATCCTTCTTTTATTCTTTAAAAAAAAAAAAGAAAGAGTGGGATTTTCAAAAGTCTTAACATATCCATTTGCTGGTAGGAGACCTGTGAAGACCTGTTAGTATTTCTGTAGTGTCTCAGATGCTTGTGTATATTGTACATAGCTCAAGAGCAGATATAAGAAATATTATTTTGGTGGAAAAACTTTTGCAGCCAGTATTTTATGTTGAGCAGATATTTAACTATGCTTTTCTTTGAATTTTGAACTCATAATTGAAGAGGCTAATATACAAAAATGCCTGCCTTATTAAAAACAAGATTAAGTGTCTTAGCTTTTTCAAGTCAAAAAGCAATATTGATTAATCAGGCCCTTGGAAAACTCTTTGGAACCTACAGAATTATTAAATTTATTTCCAGCCAAGAGATGACGTATTTGTTTCTGTGAAATATGTGTAATTAATTGTTTGTTTTATAGGTTAAATCATGAACTTCGAGGTTGGGTTCACAGACACGAAGTAGAAAGGACCAAGTCAAGAAGAATGACAAACAATCAGCAGAAGACCCGTATTCTTCAGGTCTGTTTCTTCTTGTTTTCAAACAATGGCTGGCACAGTTGGGAGACTTCCCCCATCAGTTACTCTCTTCCCTGGAAGATTTTGGAAGCTTAAGATTTACCTAATTCCTGTTGTCTCTTGCTGCTTCTTATGTAGCTGTCCTTAAAGCCCTCCTCTTAGGTTTTGTGGCACTTAAATTAGTTTTTATAGCACTAGTGTTTCCTGCTCAGCCATGTTCTGTTTCCTGCCTTCTACTTCAAATTTGCTTCAAGTCAGGAGTTCCTCTGCAAAGGTCTCTCTATCAAATGTTTTTGACAAATACCTGGCACAATAAATTATATATATATATATATATATATATATATATATATATATATATCTGATAAATACTATATGTATCTCAGCTCTTCTTAGAGTTTTTCAGTAAGAGCATGTTGAAGCATGGGGCAGCTTGGAAGTGAGGATGCATCCATGGAGGGCATTTTTGAACTTGCACATGACCCACTGTGGTTTAATGACAGCATTTACTTAGAACTCTTCAGGAGAGCTCCTATCCTAATGTTGGTCATAAAGCATAATTTATAGTCATTCCATCATTCATCAAATATTCGTTACTATTTCTGAAGCATTTAGACTAGCAGCTGGCAGATTGGGAGCTCCCAGAAAAATTACCCTTGGTGATGATAATGAGCCAGGGACTGTTCTAGGCCTGAGAATATGGTGGTGAGTGTGATAAAGTCCTTACTTTCATGGAGCTGACAGTATAGTGGGAGAGTGAAGAATAAATAAGTAAATAAATACACATACACAAAGTTAGGGATGTTTGCTTAAAAAAAAAATAAATAAAGCATTATGGAAGGTTAGCATTTGAAGTGAGAAATGAGTGGCTATTTGAGATTAAGTGGTCAGAAAAAGTTTCCCTGAAGAAGTTCCAGATACTGTAATTAAGGCTGGCTGTTAGAGCAGCCTCAAAATCTCTATAACTAGAGATTGCAGATCACTTGAACTTGTACTTGCAGATCACTAGAACTTGTTGGTAGCTTTGACAAAAGTTGTCTCATTGCAGTTGTGATGAGACACATGTTGTAGTTGTCTCATTGTGCACGAGAAAGTGGGGGAAATTATTCAGATGGTTTGGTATATGGGAATAGAGAAGTAGAGTAGCTCCAGAGATCAAGAGAGTTTTATTTTGGGGTGGAAAATATTTGACGAGGTTTGCATGTTTATATGCTAGTGGAAACATGTTAACTAGTTGATCATTTGTTGACTAGTTGGAAGCAACACGTGATATGGTCAAAAATATATTAAAAGGATATCCAGAGACATGAACTTTTAACTGCTATGGAACCTTATTAACACTGGAATGTAGAGTTGGACTGCAAAAACTTTAGTCTGCCCAATCTCACACATCAGCTGCCATGATAGCCAGAGGGAAAATGGACTCTCCTGTCTACTTTCAGAATCTGGAACAAGCACGTCTTTAGTATCTTTTTTGTGAGGGAGGGGTTACTGGGGATTGAGCCCAGGGCCTTCATACCCAGCTTCTAAAAAAATTTTTTAGTTTTAGACTGGGTCTTACTAAGTCACCCAAACTTGCTATCCTCCTGCCTCAGCCTCTCAGAGTGCTGGGATTACAGGCATGCATCACCATGCCCAGGTGGAGCGAGCATATCTTATTGGCAGAGCCTAAATAATATCCAAAACCCCACGCTGGTGACAAAAGACTTCAGATAGTATAGTTTTCATGCTTTCATCTTTTGTGATATAGGAGAAGACACAGGAGGCAGGAATAGTCATTGCCAGTGGATAATCCCACACAGCTGCTGTAATGCTCTTTATGAAAAATTAGATTAAAATTCTTAAATATCATTTAAGATATTTGTGCTTTTCTTGGGATATATTTGTCATGTTATTCTTTCATGTTCATTGGATAAAAGAATAGAGTATTTTCTGTGGATGGGGTATTTTTTTAAATCTTGAAGGAATTCTAATGCAAGGAAAATAATTTTGTTTTAATTTCATAGTCTCTGTTCATTTAGAAAAGATTTATAGTTCAATCAAAAGTCTTATCTCTTTTCTGCTATTTTGGGAGCTTGGATACTGGTCAGAAATGAGAGAATCTCAGCTTTCTGTAGGGAAAGCTTGGATAATGGTCAGAAATATGAGTCTTAGCTTTTACCAAAAAAGGAACGACAGGATGCATCTGTATTTGTCCAAGTAAAAAAGTTCTTGGTTAGTTAAAAGAAAGACAAGTATTGTTGCCAGAGTCTTGGACTACCAGTCCCAGCTTGAAGGACCCTAACAGACTAGGTTCTGCCACGTGTTTCAAGGTGCCAGTCCAGAGATGAACAGTAGTGAGGGTAGGGAAGAATTTGAATCATTATTGCTATACTAGAAAGACAAGGGGCTTGCTTCTTTTGCCCTGTGTTCAGCGGTACTGGCATAAGCTCCCTGATTATATAGACAAAGGGACCAGAAGTATGTATAGTCAAACAGTCTTTGTCAGAAGGTGATCTGGCTGATTATTATCTCAGGATTGGTCAGCCAGGGCCATGTTGGCTGTTATAAGAAAGTTGCTGTTGCCTAAGGAGTAGTTTTGTCACTGTAAGGTGTTTGTAAATCGGACTTGATGTTCCTGGACTCCAAAGTGACGGCTAGATAGAGTGACTCAGAGCAAAGGTGACGCATACAAAATGGAGGTAGAGATGCTAAGTTACCTTTTGGACATTTGCAGGCCCAAGTGAAGAGTTTCTAACAGGATCATTCTGCTTATGCTGTTGTCAGTTCTAAAGCATGTAAGAATTCCTTCGATTCTTTCAGTGTAGACAGCCTATTAATCCTCTCCTTTGTCTTCTTTTTTCTTTTGAACCTTTTCCCCAAGGTTACTTCTTCAGGATGCTAAAAGAATCCAAAACTCTCATAAGATATTCTGTAAAATTGGTGATTTGACATTTCTTTGAAATTTCTATTATTTCTAAATTAAAGGTATTTTCAGAGAGATAAAAGCTAAGAGAATTGTTTTGCAGAAGACCTGAAGTATAAGAAATTTCAAAAATGTTTAGACTAAGAAAAGTGATACCAGCTAGAACCCCAGATTAGCAGAGGAAGATTACAGACTAGTGAGGAAGGGCATTAGAATAGGTATCTAGGTAAAGATGAAGTCTTTAAAAAGTCTGTACTTTATATTTGTATATATTCCTTTCAAAGACTGTTATATTTTTAAAGCAGTAATAAAACAATTAGTTTGGAGTTTATAGATTAGATAGAAGGACACAAAGGGTAGGAGAGAGAAGTAGAAATATACTGCTAAGTTCTTATATTGCTCAAGTAATATTTTAAGGTGCACTGTAATTAACTTAAAGTGGATAGTACCAAACCTTATATATATATATTAGGTTTTCCCTGTACATAGATATGTTCTACAAACCTATGGTAAAGGTTAACTAAGCGCAATATGAGATTAACAACAATAATAATGTAGAACAGTTACAACCGTATACTGTAATAAAACTGCAAGAATCCCTACTCTTATGCTTGGGGCCCTTATTAAGTAAAATGAGGGCTACCTTAACAGAAGTGCTATGATATCATGTCAGCTGATGTGACTAAGCAGCAATAAGCAAGCAGTGTTCATGGTGTGGATACGCTAGAGAAGGGCATGATTCATGTTCCAGGCGGGATAGAACAGGATGGTTAGAAATTTCATTGGACTGCTCAGGATAGCACACAATTTAAACCTTATGAATTATGTATTTCTGGAATTTTCCATTTGATATTTTTGGGCCACAGATGACTATGAGTAACTGAAACCATGGTCAGCAAAACCATGTGGTGGGGGGGTTGCACTGTAGAGCTAAAAATGGCAATACAAGTAAAATAGAACACAAAAACAGCGGTTAAAAAAAGGCAGGAAAAGAGAAACAAAAACCAAATAGAATACATAGGAAAATATATGCCAAGATAGTAGATTTAGATCTGGTTATATTAATAATTAAATTCAATGGGCTAAAACCTCAATTAAGAGGCAGAGGTTGTCAGAGTAGTTTTTTAAAAAAGAAAGATCCAACTATCTGTAGTTTATAAGAAATTACATTTTAAATGTAAAGATATAGACAGAAAATAAAGCAATAAGAATGTATATACTGTACAAGTATAAGCATTAGAAAAATGTTTATATTAATCACATAAAGTAGACTTCTAAATAAAGGTTATTATAACATACAAGGAAAGAAATTTCATAATGATAAAAGGAGTATTCATCAAAAAAACATAGTAATTCCTAATAACAAAGCTTTGAAATGCACAAAACAAAAAATGACTGAACCAAAGGGAAAAGTAGACAAAAATCAAAGGGAAAAGTAGACAAATCTACAACATAACCAGAGATTTTTAACATCCTCCTTTTTGTATAAATATCTACCTCATATTTTTGCTATCACCTTTTGCTAAATCTATGTGGCTAAAAGTGAAAATCCAGTTTTTCAAAATTTCCATTGTTAATTGGTGTAACTCTTATATTGGTAAATGGCATGTCTAATTTCTTTTTGCCTGATGTGTCGTAAGTCAATTTTCCTTAAAACCTACCCACTCATTTTTAAGAGTAAGGAAAGAAATCTGGCTTCTTTCACAGTTCTGCACTAATTTCCTATGTGCCAAAGCACCAGAAATCATTTAAAATTCACCAGTGATTTCAGTTGTTCATTTTAAACCTTATATTTATCAATGTGGTATAATTCAGTTTTGGTCTTATTTACTACTTGCTTGATAACCATGTCAATAAGTAGTATTTTGTTTCTCTTTTTCTTTTCATTTATTGGTATGTCTTCCATTTTCATTTAATAAGCATTTATTAAACATGTACCATGTATAAGACCAACATTTGATTTTCATAAAACAAGACCTTTGACTTGTTACAGAGGTAAAAGTTGGAAAACAGATAGTGAACCCCTTCATGTTCCATCCACCAAGTAAAATTGTTCTTTCTTAAATAAAATTTTTCTTTCTTTTCCCTTAAACTTTTTTTCATATATGCTTCTGTTTTAGCATTTATAACGTTGTGTTGTTTTTATATATCAATTTTCTCATTTAAATACTGAGCTTTTTTTTTTTTTGTGGTACCGGGAGTCGAACTTATGACATCGCGCTTGCTATGCAGGCACTTACGCCACTGAGCTATATCCCTGGCCTGAGCTTCTTGAAGATAATCAGTTATGCACTTTTGTAGTCCTCCTGCATGTACTGAACAAAGGTACTTTGATTGCAAGAAGATGGATACATGGACACAATAATGAACAAATGCCAGATGTCTTGCGACTAAACAATTATTTAAGGCACTGTTTGACTGGATAATATTCAGGACACTTTGTAATGAAGTAATAGTAATATGCCCCTGAATTCTGATGCCCTTATAAAATTCTTCTGAAGCTCAGCTTATAAACTTCCATAGAATATAAAATGTCATAGTCCAGAACACATGCTATATAAAAGACAAGCAGTATAATGTATCTGAAACAGTATTGGTTCTAGATTAAACTGTTTTTTTGCCAAAAGAGTCATTGGTGAGATCTCGTTAATGAGATTTAGTCTGTAGGTATATTTAAGTATGAAGATACTTATATTTAACTCAATAAACAATGGGAATCTAGTTTTTCATTTTAGACCTTTCATACTTCTTAGGAACTTGCCACTGATAGCAATTATTTTAGACAAACTTAGATTGTTATATGTCCAGTAATTCTTATACAGCTTGGTCATAAAGCTTGTAGTTCTTGGACTAAACTTTTGTTCTGTCTTTAGACTTTATAAAAAGTGCCTGAAATGTCTTAATCTCCCTAAGACGCCATAAGAATGTCCAATCCAGAGTTTTACTTAAAGAGTTCTAATTTCTTTCTTTCTTGGTGTTTAATTACATGAACTTAATATGTCACAATATCCACAAAAAACAATATGAATGCTTTAATAAAAGTTTAAGAAATAAAAAAATAGGATGAGTTAGTATAGGAAGATCTTCATATGCTTATTCAGCATTAAGCTTTTTCTTTTCTCTTCCAGGGTGCTCTGGAACAGAGCTCAAATTCTCAGCTGATGGCTGTTCAATACACAGAAACCACTAGTATCAGGTAAGAAAGTATAGAAGGTCTTGGCCGCAGAATTTAAAGTAGCATACATTTTAGTAAAGTTGAAATTTACACTTTGCTTTTACCTTATCTATGATTTTTATGTTATGTACTTCATATAGCATATGCTAATTTTGAATATGTACTTGGAGTAAAGCTAAATTATTTCAAAACATCAGGTCTTCAAAATTCTTTAAGTACATAGTCAGAGTGCTGTTGAGTCATAATTTTGTTGAAAATCTTAAATAAATTTAGCTCTCTTTTCCTTGATTTGCATCTAATTTCCTAAGGCTAGGAGAGGAGGATGCTGTTTTTTGATTGTTCTCTGCCAGGTGTTTTGCTGAGTGCTTTACATCTAGTTTATCTTTAAATCTATATAATAATTTGAAGTATATTTTGTATATGAAAAAACTGGGCAAATCATTAATCTGATGTAATTTTCAGTCATAGAACCAAGCAGTAGAACCAGAATTCAGACCCTAGTTGGTTGACTTAAAATTTATTTTTTACTACAAAATACTACTTAAGATTTTTGCTGGGTATGGTGGCACATGCCTGTAATCCCAGCACTCAGGAGGCTGAGGCAAGAGGATTATTGTGAGTTTGAGCCCAGCCTGGGCTACAAAGTGAGCTCAAGGCTAGCCTGAACTGCATAGGGAGACCCTGGCTCACAAAGACAAAAAAAAAAAAAAAAGATTTTGAAAGACTCCAGAATACTTAGGGGTTTAAATGTCTTCCCTAAGACATATCCAAGTAAAAGGAAGATAATGGGGGCAGTAATAATAGTGTCCTGATTGAGTCTAGTTCTAAAGTTTATCAGAATTCAAATCATTACTGTGCCACATAACTTGCTGTGTGATTCAAGCAGGGCAATGTAATTGAAATGTAGTTATAGGCACAATTCTGGCAGCGTAGACTTACTGTAATGGCTAAATTAGATAATATATTTCAAGCACTTTGAATGGCTCTTGGCACATATTAAGTGCTGTCTCACATGGTAAATGATGATGTGGCAGCCTTAACAACAGTATCTCAGAAGTGCAAATGGAGAGGCTCAGGTTCTATCTTATAGCTCTACCACAGACTTACAGTCCACTGTGTACTATGAACTTAATATGCATTTACTGAGGGCCTACTGTGTGCCAGATAGTGTTCTAGGCACTGAGCAAAATGTATGTGTATATAAAGCTGTAAGTTGAAAGCTGTTTTATTCACTATCTTATTTATTCAGAATTCAATGGCAATGAGCAGCATATTGGTAATCATGAAAGTTTGAAGTCCTGAGATTATAGTATCCTTTTGAAATGGGCAATTTAAATATATTTATGTCATAACTAACAATTCTCTACTACCCAGAATTCAACTACTATATATTTATTTTTAAAAATATATATATCCATTTTTGATGTGTGATTATGATGGAATAGTGTTTGTTCATTAGTCAAAAGTGTTTTTAGAGGCTGGGGATTTAGCTCAGTGGCACAGTGCCTGCCTGGCAAGCACAAGGTCATGAGTTCGATTCTGGGTACCAGAAAAAAACCAAAACAAAACAAAAAGTGTTTTTAGTGATTTACAGTTAGTCCTCATTCATGGATCCAGATCTTATTCACAGATTCTGTATTTGCTAATCTGCTTACCTGCTCAAATGTATTTGTAACCCTGAAATCAATGCTTTCCATTTTTGTGGTAATTTTCAAGCATGCACAAATGTGTGTGGAACACAACTACCACGAATAATAAGTACTAACTATATATCCAAACTACAAGAGTGAGAAATGGTCCAGTGAGGAAACAGGATTACGTCAAAGGAAGGTTTCAGACTCATTTATCATTTCCTTTTAAGCTGATCTTTTCATCTTTTAAGTTAATCATGTTTTATTGATACATAAACATTTTCTCTTTGGAAAGAAATGAAATTTGATCTTTTTAATTCTTCTGGATGTTGGTTTATTGTGCTCAACACTAACAGATAAAACTTTAAGGAGTATATTTGTATCACTTGAGTTCATCTTCATTTTAGTTTCGTTAGTATTTATCAAGGCGGGCTGGGGATTTAGCTCAGCGGCAAAAGTGCCTGCCTGGCAAGCGCAAGGTCATGAGTTTGGTTCCCGGTACCGGAGAAAAACCAAAAAAAAAAAAAAAAAAAAAGTATTTATCAAGGCACCTACTGGCTTTTTTCGTATCAGTTGCTAACAGTTGCGGAGTAATACTTTACCATATAACATCTCTGACCCCAATAACAATTCTGCAAGTCTTATGTGGATACACTTATTTTGTTGAGGAGGAAACTGAGTTTCCTCAGAGAGGTTGCTGTCTTTTAGAGTACTTTCTTGAGGAGTGGAGTGGAACAGGAGTTCAAAGCCAGTTTTCAACCCCTAAGCTTTTCTCCACTGTCCACATATCCTCAGAGGCAACCTTGCCTTCACATATCTGACAGAGTGGTGAAAAATAAATTTTTCCCAGAATTAGATTTTATTACGAACATTTAAAAATCATATAAACATATGCAGAAATTTTTATTTCTAAATATTTTATAACTTTTACATGTTTTGCAATGTACTTGACTATTACATTTTAGAATCTTGATTTAGAAATGAGAATTTTGGTTGTAGCAAATTAGATCCTATAAATATCCTTACTCTTGGGCTAAAATGTTATTTAAAAACTTACTGCCAGACATGTGCACTTGCATATTTATTGAGTCCCTATTTACAGTAACCAAGAAATGGAAACAATCTAAGTGTCCCTCAACCTGAGGAATAGATGGAGAAAGTGTGTGTGTGTGTGTGTGTGTGTGTGTGTGTGTGTGTGTGTATCACACACAATGGACTATTATTCAGCCATAAGAAGGATGAAAACCTGTCATTTGTGTCAGGACTGGAACTGGAGAATGTATATCAGGCACAGAAAAACAAATAGCACATGTTCTCTTTCATATGTGGCATCTAAAAGAGTTGATCTCATGGAGAGCAGACTAGTGGTTGCCAGGGCTGGGGAGAGTGGTGGGGAGGGAATGGTGGGGAAAGGTTGGTCAGCGGGTTTTCAGTTACAGTTTAATAGAAGTAAGTTCTGGTTTCCCCTTGCACAGTTGGGTCACCACACATAATGATTATCTACTGCATATTTTAAGTGTTTTTGATTTTAATAAATGATAAGTGAGTAGATAAGGATGCTTACTCTGAGTTAAATATTATACGATATACACATGTATTGAAGCATCATATGGTACCCCATAAATACATATAATTTTTAATGTGTCAGTGAAAGAAATAATTAAATGATTTTAAAAATAAAGATAATTGCCAAATTGCTGGTTGAAAGAGATTTTTATAATTCAGACCTAACCTTAGAATGGGAAGAATTTTGGGAGAACTAGAACTTCTTAGTAATGACACTTGGCCTTTTTCTTGCTTTAGTAGGAACTCGGGGAATGAGTTACAAGTATATTATGCTCCACCCGGAAGTTATCAAGACTTCTTTGAAGCTATTCGCAGAAGAGGGGACACATTTTATGTTGTGTCATTTCGAAGGGTAAGATTATTTTGAAAGAATAAAGCAAATATTTCTGAGTGCCTGATGTGTATAAGGCATTGGGCTGCCTTCTGTAGAAGCTACAAAAGTGTGAGAGATAGGAAGCAATAGGAAATACACTTAGTGACTGGAAGTTTAAGTGCTGTAATACTTGCTTGACTTTGAGCTACTCAGCATTACGACTGTGAACATGGAATTGATGTCAGGCTATGACTATATTTAGAAAATATAAATTACGTCTTGATGTTTATTCTTTGTCGTTTCTATAGTTATATTCTTTATAACCAAATGAAAAGTAAAAATATAAAAATTTCCAATTTAGGCTTTAAAAAAAGCAATTTCCATTTTGTAGTTGAGAAAGAAACTTCTGAAATATAAATTTAAGATGAATCATGGGCTGATTAATACATTAATGTAGTATATTGATCTAACTTGCTAAGATTCTTTATTCTTCTTTCCTGTCTTCTTCATCAAACATTTACCTTTGTTGGTGAAGAATGTCAGTTAGGTCATGCAGACGTAAATGTTTATACTAGCACTTTAGATTGTTACAGTGTTAGACTAAGTGGAAAAATGCAGAGCTATTTACATTCCATCTTCTTTTTTATAAAATGACAATGTATTCTTCATAGAATTGCCATGTGAATATCTCTGTTTCAGTGCTGTATGTTAAACCAGGAGCACGTAAAGAAGTTAGAATTCCTCAGGGTCTTGTATCCTAAGCCTTTTCTTAAAAAAAAAATGTAAAGGAAATGTGACTAGAAATAAGTATACACTGACAATAGAATAAGTACCTCATTGTCTGATTACTGTTACCACTCATTATCACTGAAATTCTCAGTTAACTAGTTAATTCCTTTCCTAAACTATAACTATGTGGCAGCTCAAGATTTAACGACTGGAGAATTTTGGCACTTGACTGTTTCTATATTTTCAATTATTAATTAAATATAGTAAGAGATTTGGAGTACTTTAGCTATGGCATCTCATGATCTGCATTTTTAGAGTCCTTGTGCTCATCTTTTTTTCTGAGACAATTGGTATATTTGTATACCACACCAACCTCAAAGTTCCTTTTTTTTTTTTGGTTTTGGTTTTTTTCCGGTACCAGGAATTGAACTGATGACGTAGCGCTTGCCAGGCAGGCGCTGTGCCACTGAGCTAAATCCCCAGCCCCTCAGAGATCCTTTTTAGCAGCAAGGGAGCAGCTGAGAATAGGGTTGCAGCAAGTCTTCAATTGTATTGTCCAATGAGAACCAGGTTTTTGCTTTACTTTTGACATAATCATGTTTGGGGGTGGGGTAAACTTTTAAAAATGAGATCCTAGGCAGGTGTGGTGGCGCTTGTAATCCCAGCACTCACAAGGCTGAGACAGGAGAATCACCACAAGTTTGAGGCAAGCCTGGGCTGCCTAAAGAGTTTAAGGCCAGCCTGAAGTACATTGTGAGACCCTGTCTAAAAACGAACAGAAGGAGATAGGACTCAGTACTATGTAAATAACTGTTGCCTGTTAAAACAAATGTGTTGAAATGTGTGTTATGGAAGTTATTGCAGAATAGTATTCTTTTAACACTGAAATAGCCAAATAGCTTTTCCTACTTTTTAAAAAAATAGTTCAGGATACTTCATTATTTGATCAAAACAGTATAATGTATAGGAGAAGCAGCAGTTATCAAGCTGTGGATTGAAGTCATGGTTAGTAATGTTTTTCTGGAAAGAGAACAAGTATTTTTGGATAGAGAAAATAGTCCTACCTTTACAGAGACTGTATTTTAATAAAAAGGATGAAAGATACTCTTTAAAAAAACTATATGAATTGCACTTCTAAAAAGCTATTTCTACTCAGTTTACTGTTTAAAATGCTCTTGGATAAGTACTGATTCGTCTTCGTACCCTTTGGTGTTCAGGCAGACTGTTAAGATTCTCTCTCTCTTTCTCTCTTTCTCTCTGTTGCACATGCGCACGTGCACATTCTGGTTGCATCTTTCATTTCCTAATTACTGATTTATCACTTTTTGGCATTTTATATCAAGGAAGAGTAAGGATAAACCTGGACTTAATTAGATAATAGTCATTACTAGGCAACATCCTTTTTCATGTTTTAACAGTAGGGAAAAGGAAGCTAATTTTACTGCAGTGATTATAAACTATGTCATGAGACAGGAATTTGGTTCTTAAATACCTGGATTGTTTTTTCTGCTTTCACTAAAATGAAAATGAAAGAAGTAATGAATTACCTCATGCTCAGTCTCATGCTTGGTCTTTTCTTCTGTCTTCCAATGTGAAATACTCTCCTAACAGTTTCATCAAAAAGCAAGTGGTATTATTTCTTGTGCCAGGGAATATAGAATTTTTCTCTCAATTAGGTTCTTAATTTCATTGACAGAAGTTATTGCACTGGAAGTTCAGAGCATTTGAAACCCCAAGTTTCAGCTTAGCATGAACCAGATATGTATAACAGAAGCTCTCAATAAGCAAGTCATATTGTTTTCTTTTATAATTGAACATACTGTAATAAAATTTTTTATTTTAGTATCTGAAAATTGAAAGTAGCCACTGATGATAAGTGTACCATTATTTAATAAACCAGCTATGTTCTGAACTTACTCGCTTTCATATCACACATTCCTGTACCCTTTAAAACTCATTACATTTGAGCCGCTGACATTATTTTCTCTAATGCAGACATACTGTTAGATGACTACTGAGTTCCTGTTATAGGTCAGCAAGAGAGAATGCTTGTGATTCCAGAAGCCCTGACAAAAGCTCAAAAGGTTTTCTGTTCTTTTGACTTTCTGTTAAGAGTTTTTAACTCCAGCACAGTACCCTATTCTCTCTCCATTGAATTCGAGGTATTTTAGTATGATTTGGATAGTATAGGAATGGAGAATAACTTTTTTTCAAACTTCCAAGTCATTTTGAATATGTTATAATTGATATATAGGTAAGAAATAATCTAAATAAGTTTTGCTTTTGATTTTTCTTCATGAGTTTGTATGATAGCCTGTTTAGGGAGGGAGAAGTTAAAGAACATAACAAAATGAATCTGAGAGCATGGGACAGAAACAAATACACAGGAAAGCTCAAGTAAAATTAGGTAAGAAACTGATTCCAAAGAGAGAGAAAAGAAAACATTGAGAAGGCTTGGGAAATAATACTAGTTTATCTGTTATTCCAATAAACATTGAAATGCCATCCTTAGTAGCTTCTTTCTCATTCAGTGATATTTAGGTAACGGTTTTTAAAATCTCCTTGAGGGAGTTTACCGTAAAAACAAGTTCTTTTTGCTTTGTTTGGCCTGAATGTCATAGCCTTTTTATTCCCACTCATTTGATACTTTTCAAATGAGATAAATGTCTGCTTTTAGAACACTTTATTTTATAATATTTTCTATTTTCAGTACCTATCCCTCACATCAAAAGTAAACACTTTAAAGTGTCTCTTTATCTGTTTCAAATATGTGGGTAATTTGTAAGAGGAAAACCTAAGCTACAGTTATATACCTGATTCAGACATATTTCTCCCTCCCTTTCTTTTCATGTGTTTTATGTATTCTAGATATTAGTACCATATCTGAGTATTTCACTTCTTGGTCACTTATAAAATATTTACTAGCACACCATATATATGCTGTGGATTGTAAGGAAAATCCTAAGTAAGAGGAACTTGCTGTGAGATATGTGAGAATTGAAGAAGCACGGGAAACAGGCTCAGCAGCTCAGTAGTGACTCTGTGGCTGTGCTGTGTGAATGGGAATGTGCACTCGTCCTTACGGAGAGTTGAAATAATAACTTGTCACTCCTGATTCAACAGCAGCTCCAGTAATCCACTTTAGTCTTTTTCACACATTGCTGATTAAAGCTCTCTAAGCAGAAAAAGGATCTAATTGGATAGTTGGTCATTATCTTGTAGGAAAAACTGCTAGGGCCGTCTTGGCTCATGATCCACGGCCCATTCACATGTGATGAGGGAAACAGGGCTGAGTTCATTAAGTGTGTAGCCTTGCTTTGTAAGCCAGCACCTTTACACAGAGGGAGAGCCTGGGCTACTCTTGTGAGAAAATGCTTGTGGTGGACAATGTGTTACATTATTTTAAAAAGTTATTTCTTATATTGGTTCCTAATTGTTTGATCTAAAAGGCTCATCTTACCTATATTACACACCTTTTAAAGGTAGGATGTGTCAGATGCTTTTGTATTACCTCCCGTGACACTCAGCACGGTGCCTGCCACTCAGTGCATATTAGGAACAGAACCACTTTAGGTATGTTTCATTGAGAGAGGTCACAGAGATACAAGTTCTTGGTTTTTCATGATCAGTAAAGGGTATTTTTATGTTGTTTTGCTTAAAGACATTTGAATCTTTTGCACTGATCCAAAAAGTGACATAAGTAATGCTGAATCAAGCAGAAAATTTAATTAGCAGTGACCTACCTCTCTTTTGTATTTTATGGTTGCATTAGCCAGAAATATATCAGCTTTATTTCTTGTCTCTAAATCTAAGTTTTAGAATTGAACAAATCACTTAGCTGAAATGTTTAACAACTTTTCTATGTCAATAGGTAGAACTTAGTGGTACTCCCTCCCATCTCATTTCATTAATACTTGGGTGAAGCATTTTTGAATAGATTATTGTTACTCCTAACTGCCTTTTCCTCTTGGACAAGGGATGATGTCTAGTGCCCATGCACATTCAAGCAAGATGAGTCAGAATCTTGAAACTTTGGACCAGCTATGGGAAATACTGTGATTATTGCAAAAAGGACTGGTGATGTTATTTTTTCCAGATGTTTACAAAAGGTCTATTCCCATCACTGCTCATTCCCATGCTTTTGACAGAATTTTCAATCTCCTGCATTTCTATTGGGAGGGTTTTTATGGACTCTTAATTCTTCGCTGTGCTTCTTGTTCCTGTTTCACATCATTTTGTTTAGCTCTCCTAGCTTTTTATTAGCGTCTTCTGTAGACTTGTTGATCATTTTGTTCATTTGGCCCAGTATC